GACTTTCCCCTTTAACAGTGAGGGCAAGCACTCTACAGAGAGTACAACTCTTGAGTTTCTCTGAAAGCTTAGATGAATCTCGGTGGGAATTCTTTTTTTTTTTTTGTCGGTCGTGGGGCTTGAACTCTGGGCCTGGGCGCTGTCCCTCAGCTCTTCAGCTCAAGGCGAGCGCTCTACCATTTGAGCTACAGCGCCACTTCCGGTTTTCTGGTGGTTTATTGGAGATAGGAGTCTCACGGTCTCTCCTGCCCAGGCTGGCTTTGAACCGCGATCCTCAGATCTCAGCCTCCTGAGTAGCTAGGATTACAGGCGTGAGCCACCAGCGCCCGGCCGTCGGTGGGAATTCTTAAATGGTCCTGGTATTTGCTAAACGTTTTATGTCACATGGTTTACAAGTCTAGTGAGTCTTTTGAAACATGAATTCTACTCTTAGGACTAAGGCAAGAATGGGTGAGGTCAGAGGCTGTTAGAGAAGGGAGTCTGTACCACTCAGGAAGCAAGCTTTTGGTTACTTGTCAGTAAAAGCCAGTAGTTTCTGCAAATTTGAACCCATGCATGTCTCCAAGCTTGGTTTCATTTCTTGTACTTCTCTGTAGGAACTGGCACTCAAACCCGGAATAAAAGTGTTAACGTGGATATTTTAGAGGACTTGGTGCATATAAATAAGTGAACACTAGCTGTAAGTCAACTTGGCTTATTGCCTACCTTGGGTGAGAATTCCAGGAGCATGAAGAAATGAGGGCGATGATTCTTAGAAAGGAGAGGTGTATTAAGTTTTAGCTGCTCTTTAAGTGCTAATCAGACAGGGGCTAGTGTTTTAGACTAATAAAATAATCTCTGCCCTTAAGTTCACTAGCAAGGCACAAACAGAAAGGTGTCAGGTAAAGGAAAAAACCCTTGAATGTGTAATGAGATAAAGGCTAACATGAAAAGAGCCAAGAACTTTAGAAGTAAAAGAAGGGTACTACTGAGTCCCGGGGGGGGGTGGTGTTTAAACCCAGTGGGAGTTATGCTTATAATAAAATGATTCTCCTGAACTCTAGCTCTGTTTTTAGTGTGCATTGCTATAGGCAACTTTTTATGTTTCTTGTGGGTTGAAAACTGCATAAGCTTTAAATTCATGGAACCCCTTCTAACTTCAACATTTTCTCTTTGGAGTTTTTGCAGTCTAACTCAGGTTAGAACCTGAGTCTGATTTCCATTTCTTTGGTGCACTGTGTGTCAGGTTAGTCAATCAGCTTCTCAACCTCAGTATTCTCATCACTAAATGGATGGAATATTTTTGTCACACTAGTCTCCAAATTGTCTCCCTCAGTGATTTGGACATCGTAGATGCTGAGGGGAAAACAACAAAAAAACAAAAAAACCAGCTGTTTGTGGGTGGCTCACACCTGTAATCCTAGCTACTCAGACTGAGATCAGAGGATCACGGTTCATAGCCAGTCCAGGCAGAGAAGTTCATGAGACTGTTCTCTTCAATTTACTGCTTCCAAAAACCCGGATATGGAGCTCTGGTTCAAGTAATGCTAGCCTTGAGCAAATAAGCTAAGAGACAGCATCCTGGTGCAAAAAAACAAAAATAAAAAAAACATCCTCTAAGGATAGTACCAAGAGATACATATGCTGAGAACCTAAAATTTTATGATCTATAAATTTCTATTTGAATTTTCTGATACTTGTTTTACATTCTGTTTGTAAGCCAAATAATTTTGCTAATTTGATCTTATTTCAGAAGAGTATCATAATTTTACTGATCAATGAAATATTTCAAATTAGACCCCAAAAAATCACCTGTAGGATTTGTATGCTTACAGAAGAAATCTTTTACCGGTTAATTGATAATGTACACTTCCCTGTTGCTTAATGACAGTGACATGCTTTGAGAAACACTCCTAGGTGATTTTATTGTATGAATATCATAGTGTACTCATGCAGACCAGAGGACTTCGACTAATCAGTCTGTGTGGCCTCACGGTGCCATATATAGATAGAGTACACTAAAATAACCATGCAAGTGTGGTGCACCACATACAGAAGTCAGCAAGTATTCCTGAATGCCATGTGCTGTCTGTAATTGTATGTACTGTACTTCTGTGTGACTAGGGGGTAGTAGGCTTGGTGACATTAGCAGTCCGCAGGCACATACATAATATGTGGACAAGACCTAGGATAGCTATCATTACTAGGTGCTAGTTGGTTTTCAGTCTCTGTTATCGGTGAGCTCTGTTATCTGTAGCTTACAGGCTGTGGTTAACTGAATGTCATTCATTATGTGGTGTGTCACTATGTTTCACTGTGTAACAATTACATTTTAAGCTCATTTCAAGTGACTGTGAACAGTGTGAACTGCTGGTCCTGGGGCTTAAACTCAGAGCCTGGATGCTGCCGCTTTTTAGCTTTTGTGCTCAATGTTAGAGCTTTACTCCACTTCTGGCTTTTTGGTGGTTAATTGGAGATGAGTCTCACAGACTTTTCTGCCCAGCCTGGCTTTGGACCATGATCCTTAGATCTCAGCTGCCTAGGAAGCAAAGATTACAGGCGCAAGCCACCAGCTCCCAGCCTTCAGATGAGGCTCTAAAAACTAAGTGAACATCAATTTAAGCCATTACCAGGATGATTCACATATATTACATTAAGATGTACTGTTAATCATTTTACTTTGCTCTCACATCTTTTTAAGTTTCTAAGTCTGAAAGATTGTTTTTTTTTAAGTTTTAAATAGAAAAGGCTGCTCTATATTTTAGCTTGTTCTTTTTGAGTTCCAGTAGGTAGAGTAAGTAGTGGATGGAACAACTTGGAAAGGGTATCACCCTAATATCAGCTTTGAGATCAGGGGGTCTTTGAATAGCAGACTTGGTTTTCAAATACCTCAGCCCACCAAGGCAGGACCAGTGAGTCTTCAGGCACCCTTCTAATATCAGTGTGTGAAAACTGTCTGTTAGTGACTTACTTCCAGTGTCCCCTTATAGTCTATGGCCTAGTGATCTCTTAAGCAAGTTCTCTGTAGGAAAGAAGAGTCTGGAAGGTTCAGGTGTTGGCTTCAGCTTGGGGGCTAGACAGTCTCCAGAGAGCCATGAATATTTCCAAGAAAGTGAAACCTGAAACACTCTTGGCAATAAATCTGCCATACTCTTACATTCAGCCTGTCCAGGGGACAGTGGCTCATACCTATTTATCACCCTGGCTACTTGGAAGGCTAAGGTCAGTTTGGAGATAGCACGGGCAGACAAATCTGGAGACGCAAAAAACGAGAACTGTAAGTGTAGTGGGTTCGCTCTCTCACACATACAAAACACATGCTCTCTCTCACGCAACTCTTACACGCTCACACCCACACCCACACACAATTTTCATCTTTTTCCCAGTGGTCTTGAAATACTTCTGCCTCATTGCTTAAAGAAGGGCGACTGCTTATAAGCTGGTATCCCAGTTTTAACACTCCTATCAATCAAACTATTGGTGACCTGTGTACTTTATTGATAAATTTTATTTCAGATAATAACGCACATATTTTTTTTTTTTTTTTTGTCGGTCGTGGGGCTTGAACTCTGGGCCTGGGTGCTGTCCCTCAGCTCTTCAGCTCAAGGCGAGCGCTCTACCACTTGAGCTACAGCGCCACTTCCGGTTTTCTGGTGGTTTATTGGAGATAGGAGTCTCACAGTCTGTCCTGCCCGGGCTGGCTTTGAACCATGATCCTCAGATCTCAGCCTCCTGAGTAGCTAGGATTACAGGCGTGAGCCACCAGCGCCCGGCTAATAACGCACATATTTAAACACATTGTATGCTTTTTCAAAGGAAGATGCAGATGTAATCTGAGACCCTGGCCTCTATAATTCACATCATCTAGTATATTTTTACAAAGATGTTGGGTTAATGAGTGGTGTCATGACCAAAAGAAAATCCTGTGGACTAAATCTAGAAAGCCTTAGGTAATTCATAATCCTGCATAATCCACAGTGACAAGATAGAGGAACAGAAATGAATGCCCTCCATAAGGAAACAAAACACTGCTGCCTTTCAGAGTGTACTCTCAATTTCCCTAAATCCTATATGCAGAAAATTTAGGAAATATAAAACTGCAGAAGACTAACAGTGAAACCATGTCCTCACCACTCAGCTTAAGAAATAAAATGTGGTCCAAAGGTATAACAACTCTGAACAACTAAATGAACTGTTTATCAAAATGAGCATGGGGAAGGGAAAACATGTTTTACAGGGGAACTTAGTGAGGGAGGAAGAGCAAATGCAATGCAATCATGATAGAGTATACTCTGCAAAAACTGAACCAAGTAACTTGAGGGTAGGGATAGGACAGGGAAAATGGAGAACAACAACCACCCAGGGTGGCATTGGTCAAGAACCATTGTGCTCATAACTTGATGCATGGAATCGCAACTTGTGTATACAATGAGCTAATAATAATTTTAAAAAAATATGACTGCTATACCAAGTGCTCACTTCGTGTACTCACACCTGCAATCCTAGAGGATCCAAGAGGCTGGGATCTGAGGATCATGGTTCAAAACCAGCCTGGGCAGAAAGGCCCATGAGACTCTTACCTCCAATTAAGCCAAAAAGCTGGGGGCTCAAGTGGTAGAATGCCAGCCTTGAGCAAAAGTAAGGGACAGCAGCGTCCATGCTGTCCCTGAGTTCAAGCCCTAGTACCTGCATAAACATTATTGGTAGACCAGCAGGCCAGCCTCTCCGTGGCTTCTCCTGAGCACCCAGTCCTTGCTGGAGCTTCACAGTACTAATCAGAGAGCCAAGTTCCCTCCTTCTTAAAAATAAAATTTTATCTTTTGCTGGTACTCCAGAGACTTGGGTGTCCTGACCAGAGCCCTCCTGGTCTCCTTGCCGCTATTCCTCAGGGCCTCTCGGCCCTGCCTGGCTGTGGGCTGGGAACTGTTCCTGCACAAGTCTCTGACTGTCCAGCTGGTCTGATGTTTATGACATTTTTCCTTCCCCTCATCCTCTGAAATCAATGTTTTCACCTTTGTGTCATGTTGCATCGCAGCGAATGGGACTATGTCTCTCTCTTCTACTATATTGTAGGCTATTTGAAGGAATATTTATAAAATTTTACATGTTGTTAGCAATCAATAAATGCTTATAGATTTTTTTTTCTCATGAGGATATCCATCATGCTCTCTGGCTTTATGGCCATTAACCTGCCTTATACTTGACTATGAGGCTTCTAAGGGAAATCTAATTATTGTTAATTGTGACTAGAGAGATTATAAAATCATGTGTCAGTTTTCACATTGTCCTTTTTGTATGATATTTTAACATCAAAGTAATGTTTCTTTTTCTCTTTTAGATATTGCTATATGGAGATTTGCCAAAAAATAAAGAAAATGTAATATATTTATCAAATCATCAAAGCACAGGTTTGTATTTCATTTGCATGAAATGAGGGCATTATTTTTAACAAGTGGTACATAGTCATTCAAAGGAGTTTTCTAATATATTTAAGTGAAGTTTTTTTTGTTTTTTAAAGTTTTCTATATAGATTTTATACTTATGTCATCGTTATTTTTGTGTTCTTACATTTTGGCAGGCCAGTAATGTGCAAGTTAATTTTCCTAGACTTTTTCCCCTCTCTGATTGATATAAATAAACTATTTTCTTACAGTTTTTCTCCATATCTTTGAATAGCTCTTAATGTACTCTTCTTTTTATAAATAGAATTGGTGTATTGAAGCATGTGTACCCTTGATTGATTGAATGATTGAGGCCTGCCTATGTAGCCCATACTGACCTAGAACTCACAGTTCTGCCTCTAGCCGATTTTCTTTTTTTTTTTTTTTGGTCAGTCATGGGGCTTGAACTCTGGGCCTGGGCGCTGTCCCTCAGCTCTTCAACTCAAGGCTAGCGCTCTACCACTTGAGCCACAGTGCCACTTCTCTCTAGCCTACTTTCTTAAAACTTCTTGGAAGGTGTACCCAAGGCTTAAGGTTCATTTTCAGTGTTTAAATTTTAAATCTTTGCAGAAGTCTATCTGAGTACATGTACTGTATAAATACAGGAGAGTAATCATCCTACAATCAATGGCAAACAATCCCTCTTCCCTTCAAAAAACAAACTTTAAGCCCAGTACGGTGGCTCATGCCTGTAGTCCTAGCTACACAAGAGGCTGAGATCTGAAGATCAAGGTTCAGATCCAGCCCTGGCAAGAAAGTCCATGAGATTCTTACTTACCTCCAATAAACCACCAGAAAAGCTGAAGTGGCGCTGTGGCTCAGAGTGATAGATCATTGGCTTCGAGCAAAAAGAGCTCAAGGACAGTGCCCTGAGTTCAAGCCCCAGGACCAGTAAAACAACCACAAAAAAAATTCATTGTTTTATTCCTTCTGTTCTGTTCTGAAACATTTGAAAACACAATTAACTTCTAGGAAGAGGAAAGGTTGTATTGTTAACTGTTACCTTGCCTTAATTATTGTATATGCAACCTTTCAGTTTTAGTTATAGTTTCTAGGAACTTGAGACTACGTCCCTTGATTATGTAAGGAACCCAGACCTACCTGCACAGTTGTAAGGTACGTGGGACCTAATACTGTGTCCAAAATATTAGTAGAGATCAGTACATATACAGAATATTTACTCATACTCAATAACTTGAATGGCTATTTTTGCTTATAATCTCCCATTTTCCACGTTAAAAAAAATTGTTTTCTAGCCCTAATTACAGAAGGTCATTTTATTCTTTGTAAGAACTGCTTTTAATTAGTTTGGTATTTTGTGACTTTCATGTTTTGCTTTTGCAATATAAAGCATTTCAAACACCACATCTGGTGGCTGATGCCTAGAATTGTAGCTATTCAGGAGTTGTGACTGAATCACAATTCAGGGCCAGCCTGGGGGAAAAAAAAGTTTGCCTGACATGCAGCAAACATTCCAAATGCTATAGCTCACCTCTGCAATCCCAATTAACACAGAAGGTATAAGTAGAATCACAGGCCATTTGGGTCAAAAAGTGTGTGATTCTATCTGAAAATTGACCTAATGCAAAAAGGGTGGGAGTATTGCTCAAATGGTGAAGCACCTGCCTCACAAGTACGAGGCTCTGAGTTTAAGTCCCAACTACCACTCCACCCAGAAAATCTTCTGGTGAAGAGAGGTGGAGGGAACAAACAAAAACCACAAGTTGAGAGTAACTGTCCGGTGTTCAAGTGAGTAGACCCCAAGCAGACCTGGGCCTGTGGAGGGCGAGGGTGCCGGGCTCACTGGTGCTGTCTTGCAGTGGACTGGATTGTAGCGGATATTTTGGCCGTCAGGCAGAATGCTCTTGGACATGTGCGCTACGTGCTGAAAGACGGGCTAAAATGGCTGCCATTGTACGGGTGCTACTTTTCTAGGGTAACTCTTTTTCCTTACATATGTTTATATGTATATATTCATTTTTTAATGTATGTTAAATTTTAACTTACATTTAATGTAAATATTTTGTTTTTTACTGAGGATGGAACCTAGGGTCTTACATGCTAACCGCTTTACCACTGAACTACATCCCCAGCCCGAATGCTTTTAAAAATATGTCATATTTATCTTTATTTGATATTCTTGATGATGTATATTTATATAAGTAATTATCTGTATAGTTAGATGAAATAGCAAAAATGTAGCTCTATAAAGGTCAGATAGGAACATAAGGGCATAGAATTTATTAATTAGTGATCTGGACACATAAAACCAAATAGTGAGCTATATGTGCAAAATACTTAGTATTGTGTGTGTGTGTGTGTGTGTGTGTGTGTGTGTGTGTGTGTGTGGTGTATGAAAGTGTCAATGAGATCCCTATTCTGTGCAATTAATGTATGCAAGGAAAATGTATTTCATAACAGAGCTAGGTTGATATTTTAAATCCTAAAGATTGTGCTGACATCTTTAGTGATTCTTTAGTAAGTCAGCAGAAAAATCTAAACTTAAGATACATCTGATTAATGAAGTGTTTAATTTAAAAGGTTTTTTTTTTAAGAAAGAAAGAATTTTTGTTTTAACTATTGGCAAAACTAAATAGCTGTTTTCCAATACAGTGTCTACAAGTTCTGTTTGAATTACATTGAAATGGAATTTTCAACTACTAGTTAATAACTACTAGTTAATTAGGATGTATTCAAGTAGCTTAAATTTTGAGATATTTCACTCAGTACTTGTTTTGGGAGTAAAGTTGATTTTTCATGCCTATGACAGTTGATTAGTTTAAAAGTAACTATTTCTCCCCATTTTTCTTGCTGGCCAGCATGGTGGGATCTACGTAAAGCGAAGTGCCAAATTTAATGAAAAAGAGATGAGAAACAAGCTACAGAGCTACGTGAAAGCAGGAACACCAGTAAGAGTGCTCTTTGTATTCCTTCCTTAGCGACTGTCGGTTTTCAGTTGAAGAATTGAATTAAAATAAGAATATAGTACTCTGTGTGTAGTAAATAGTTCAGGGTTTGTTGCGGGAACAAAGTCCTTGCCATTCTCTGGCCATCAGAAAGATTGATATACGTGCTAGGGCCTTTTCTGGCGGCTGCCAGTGTGGACCTGAAAAATCTGAACAGACACGTTAGTTGCACTGGTAACCCTATGTTTAATCCTGAGAACACTCACTCCTGGCTCTATATGTGAATAGAGTTCTAGGAGAAGCTACTATCTTCTGTTGGAGCAAACTTAACATACATTGAGTTTGAAAAGCAAGAAAAATGATTCATATCTACAAGTAAAATATCTTCCAATGTGAATATTGTTTTGCAAAAGTTTGTCCTGAAAAGAAAAAAAAAATCTTGTATGTGAAGAATGCTAACTGTTGCCAAATGACTTTTCCCATGACTTCCTTCTGGACAGAACAACTTGATTGTGGTGATCTCTGGTCTCTCTCTCCACACATTGCAAGGGTCCAGACTTAGCTCATGTACACAAGTTCTTTTTCTCCTTGTCCCCTCTTGCCTCCCTCTTGTCCTTTTCCCTTCCCTGGCCAGGGTTCAGTGAGAGCTCATATTCAGAGTACTCCACACTTGGCTGGCCAAGTACCCAATGTGATCATCATTTGTTCTGAACACTGTCTAGATGTTTTCGCAGGTGGAAATCACATCATCTAGGAAAGATGGGGAAGATGGGAACAGAGTGTTGGGAAATGAATAGTGAATTGTCCTTTGTCCTGTGATGGTGCGCCCTGTATAAAAAGCATGGTACTCTGCAATGGGTTGAGACAGCCCAGAGGATTCACATAGGGTAGGGCTCCTGTCCGTAGATCTTCGGGACAGTGGATTGGCACTGTATAATACAGCGCACTTCTTTGTAAAGTTGAATTTAAAGACATGGGTTTGCAGGTATGATGTCCATGCCTTTCTCTATGCTCTCGCTACCTCCATTAGTGTCTCCTTGTCTGTGACTTGAGCCAAAACATCTTTTAACTTTGTTTCTTGTTGTTGTTTTTAATAGAAATCCTGGTTGATCCCCCCCATGCTGTCTATCTGGTTTGGTGCAGTTAGCTTTGGAAAGTTCTTGCCTCTTACCGGCTCTCGAGTATCCATGATCCAAAACGCTTTAGGAGCAGAAATGTTTTGGGTTTCAGAAGTTTTCAGATTTTTGTAGTATTTGTACAGACTTTACCAGTTAAGCTTCCCTGATCAACTCCAGAAATATTCTGAAATCAAAAACATTGCAAGTGTCATGGTGATGTTGAAAATCAAGTTTTAGGTTTTTGGAGCACTTGAGATTTGAGGCTGAAACTCAGGGTCGTGCTCTACCACTTGAGCCACAGCTCTACTTTAAGAGTTTTTGAGTAGTTTATTGGAGATGTGAGCCTCACAATTTTCCCCCGTAGGCTTTTATCCTGTGCACTGTTGCTGACCGATGACCATACCAGTGCCCATGAAGCCTGCTGAGGGCTGGCTATGTTAGACTCACTGTGTGTTGGTCCAAGGTCTGCTTTCTTAGGATTTGGCAGGCAGTTTTGGTTTTTAGTATTTAAACCATGATCCTGAGACCTCAGCCTCCCAAGTAACTAGGATTACAGGAGTGAGCCATTGGTGCCATCTAAAGTGGTTCAAGTCTTTAAGCCTGAGCTTCAGGTGAGTTTTGGCCTCTTGAGCATGCAGTGTAGGGTCATGTGACCCATATACCCTGCCCAGTCCTTCCCTGCAGTGACAGGGACGCCAGGCTTTCCCCTTGCTTGCAGTTTGCGTGCCCTGGGAGGGGTCAGTGATGCCCAACTGACCAGCAGAAGTCCGTAACTGGAGGCATGGCTCAAAGTGGTAGCATGCCAGTAGTGAGCAAATGAAGCTGAGCAAGCGTTGGTGGCTGTGAAAACATCTGCGCCTGTGTTAGCCAGGGCCCTTGAAACTCATCTAGTCTAAGCCCCAGTGAAATCAGATTCTGAGCGTGAGGTGACGTGGACCACTCAGGCAGTGCAGCTGGGCCTGCAGACTTACTGAAGACTCACCTCTGGCAGCTGCAGGTCGGGCAGGTGGGGTGGGGTGTGGCCCTTACCAGCTCACTCTTCATGTCCCGCACATTTCCAGTAGAAGGCCATGGACATGAGGTGCTACTCTTCTCACCTTCTGTCTTCTGAGACAGAACTTTTCTGCTGTGCTCACTTCAGGTTTACTGTTTGCTCAATTTTGGTCTTAGCATCTTAGCTCTTTGATACTTTCAGATGATATTATAGGTAACTTTTAAAATAGTTTGTATGGAAAAGTTAAATCAAGCAGTCTAGTCTTCTGCTGTGGGTTACTGTAGTGTGTCTCAAGGTCACAGTCTAGCTTTTATCCTGTGCAGTATTGATGACCATACCAATGCTCCTGAAGCCTGCTGAGAGCTGAGTCACCATGTATTGGCAGGCAGTTTTATTTTTTAGTATTTAATCCCGTAAAATATGCTCCTTAGATTCTTCACTGTACTCTGGTTTCTCAAAAGTAATTAAATCACTGGGATAGTGGGATGAGTATATATATCGATACATATATGTATATCTGTATCTATATATATATATCACAGCAATTTTGTGTGGCTTAGTAGATCTTAGTAATAATGTGTTTCATTAACTACAGCAGTTCTTGCTTAATACAAGTATTATTTGAGGGATTGTATTAAAATGTGCATCTCTATTACAAATTTTAGAAAGTGCTTCTCCATATTGTAAGAGTATTTTCATAAGTCATTTATCACGGGACTGGGAAGATGGCTCAGTTGTTAAGAGTGTTTGCCTTGCATGCACGAGGCCCTGCGTTCGATTCCCAGCACCACATAAGCAGAAAAAGCTGGAAGTGGTGCTGTGGCTCAAGTTGTAGAGCACTAGTTGAAGAACTGAGAGACAGCATCCAGGCCCAGAGTTCAGGCCCCACTAGTGACAAAAAAAAAAAGTCATTTATTAGTTGAGGATGTAATAGAAACATTTGTGATAGTGATTACTTCATTTATATATATTATCTAGTTAGAATTTTAGCTAGAAAAATTTATGCCACAAGTATGGAAGTGGATGCATTTTCTTGTATTGTTTATTCGTGTTTCTTTTCAGATGGTGGGCAGCCTAGTGGTTATGAGTATTGAGATTTGTAACTTCTTACAAAGTCACTTTGGAGGATTGGGCTGGGATGGAAGAAGAGCCCAGTGTTTACATGCAGGAAATATGCTAATGTGCCCACTAATGTGAACAGCTGTGCATGTTCATGAAATGTCATGCCATGGGGTCCTTTAGAAGGGAGCAGTTGCCTCATCAATTAAAACTAAGCATTTCTTTGCAGATTTTTAGTGATTATTTGCATTTTAGAAATTATTTCAGACCTACTTTAAATGTAAGCCTGCATTTTAAATGTTGTGTTATGTTCAGACATAATTAAGTTTTTGCATTTTGGTACCTCTGCTTGAAATAAAGGACATATAAATGAATATGTGTTTCATCTACCACAGGAAATAGCATTAATGAAGTTTTCGTTGTTAAAGTCAACAGCAACAAGGGTCTTACACACACACACACACACACACACACACACACACACACACACACACACACACACCCTGAATTTCCTCTGTGTCCCACAGATGTACCTTGTGATTTTTCCAGAGGGAACAAGATTCAGCCCAGGACAAACAAAACTCCTATCTGCTAGTCAGGCATTTGCTGCTGAACATGGTAAGTAGAAAATTGACTAGAATGAGAAAATAACTTTTCAAGATAATGATCTTGGAGAAGATATTTATGTTTTGCAACAAAAATGAATGAATATATCATCTCTTAGAAAGGAAATGTCTTCTGAATACACTTGTATGTTATTACATATGTCTCAGAATAAATTCTAGGGCTTGCTGCAATATGTATTTTCAGGCTATAGATTTACTTAAAACTGAGTACATGAATATGAGTGTAATTTCTCTTTGTTTCCTCCCTTCTTCCCTCCCTCCCTTCCTCCCTTCCTTTCCTCCTTGTCTTGGTGGTAGTGTGGTTTGAACTCAAGACCATATACTTACTCTACCCACTTAGCCATGTTTCCAGCCCTACTATTTTTGCTGGTTATTATGGAGATGGAGTCTTACTGACTTTAATGCCTGGGCTGGCCTGGAACCACAGTCCTCAGATCTCAGTCTTCAGTGTAGCTAGAATTACTGGTGTAAGCCACCAGCACAAGGACTTTTGACCTTTCCTGCAGTGTGGATTATGTGTGAGGGTAAAGAGTGTGTATTCTGTAGGCTTACACACCCAGACTGCACTTGAGGCTCTGGCTTTTATTAGCTGTCTGGTTGCAAATGATGTTATATTGACAGGCTTCAGTATTTTATCTCCTGTCATCATATATACCTCTTAGACAGACGGAAATCTAAATAAGAATTGACTCAGGAGTATGTAAAGCTCCTATTGGAGAATCTCTCAGAGTTGTCTGCAGTTCTTAGAAGCTTGTAATAATGTTCTCAACCCATATTTTGGAGAATTGCGTAGCTGAATGGCTGATAAGCTGAACAGTTTGATACAGTTTGACCAAATTGGAAGCCCACTGGAAGCAGTGCTTTTGCTTTGTTCTCAGGGTGCCTTTTGAGAGAGTGAGTGTGTATCCTCCCTGTGTGGTCCAATGAGCAGCTTAGTAAGCTAGTGCTTTGTCCTAAGCATTGGGAGTGATCATGGGCATAGTTGTACTGTCTGGGAGTAGAGAGGTGAAGAGTCTGCTGTAGGTCAAAGTCTCCATGGAACGGGCTTCTGGCTTGTTACCTTGTAGCCCTGGGTAGTTTTTGTTTTTTGTTTTTGTGTATGTATGTGTGTTGTTGTTGTTTTTTTTTTTTTAACTCGGGGCTTGGGCATTGTCCCTGAGCTTTTTTTGCTCAAGGCTAGCATTTAACCCATAGCTTTACTTCCAGATTTTTGGTAGTTAAGAGTCCCATGGACTTTCCTGCTTGAGCTGACTTTGACCCTTGCTCCTCAAAAGTCAGCCTCCTAAATAGCTAGGATTATAGGTGTGGGCCACTGGTGCCCACCCTACCCAAGGTTTTTAATAGGTTTGTGTGTGAAGTGAATGTTTACTTGATAGACAAAGGCATGTGGGGTTCTGTAAGCCTGAAGCCTTTGAATGTGCAGCGATGGCCCCAGCACACTTCTGTCTGTCCACTGAGGAGACCAAGCTCTATCTAGATGTCCAGCTTGATAGATTCCTAATTTATGACCATAGCGAATGACTTCTTCCTAGGCCTTCCAGTATTAAAACACGTGCTGACACCAAGAGTAAAGGCAACTTACGTTGCTTTTGACTCTCTGAAGAGTTACCTGGATGCCATCTATGACATTACCGTGGTTTACGAAGGGAGGAGTGCGAACTGGCAGCAGCGGCAGCAGCAGGAGCCCCTGACCATGACGGGTGAGCGTGTGTCCCTCTGCATGTGAGCCTGCGTGTGTGATGAGTGTACTCGGTGACATGCATGAGCACCGCATGACATGTTTAAGTCACATATGGTTAGTGAGTGTATAATTCATGTTTTAAATAGGCAAGTATCATTCCTTTATTCCTTTTTTTTTTCTTTTGAGACGGGTTCTTGCTTTGTGGCCCAGGCTGGCCTGAAACTCACAATCCTCCGACTTATGCCTCTCAAGTGCTGAGATTACGAGTGCACACCCTCATTCCATTTGCTTCTTACATTGTTCAAGGTATAACTAATGTGTAACAGTTGAAATTGCATTAGTCCTGCTAAGTTTGATATATCTTGGATGCTATCTTAGTCTTTTAAAATTCTTAAACCTAGTTATTCTATCCAAAGTTTACATATGAAAATGGAAAGCTCCACCCATCAAAGGAGGAAGTGAGGAACCAGCCATGGTGACTCACAGCTATAACTCCAGCTGTGTGAGAAGCAGAGGCCAGGAGGACTATGACTTCAATGTCAGCCTAGGAAGAGTTAGCAAGCGCTTGTCTCGGAAATGAAAAACTCAAGAGAAGGGGAGGGGAAGTAAGGCTTAAGTGGTAGAGTGGTTACATAGCATGTGTGAGGCCCTGGGTTCAATCTGCAGCCCAAGAAAAAATAAAATAAAATGGAGGAAAGAGGACAATAAGCTAAACCATGGTGACTCACACTTGTAATCCTAGCTGCCCAAAAGACTGAGATGCGAGGATCACAGTTCAAAGCAAGCCTGGGCAGAAAGGTTAATGAGACTCTTATCTCAAATTAACCAGCAAAAGGCCATAAGAAGACGTGTGGATCAAGTGGTAGACCCTTACCCTTGAGTGAAAAAAGTCAAGTAGCAACATGAAGGCCTGACACAATACTGACACACAAAAACCGGGGGGGGGGGATGAAAAGGGTACTTAGCTAGCAATATCGAGATGTCCATTCACAGTCAGTACTAATCTTTAGATATATATTTTGTAGGATAGTTACAAAAGTTAGTGTCATTGTTGGACAAAAAAGCTCCTTTTCAAAAATTTAAAGGACAGGGTTATAATTTGTGTCACATTTAACAGAATTTTGAGTGAGCTGCATAGTTTAGCTGAATGTAACCGAAGACACAGCTGACTGCAGGAATTTGCACAGGGCACCAGGCAGATGAGGACTTGTGGACAGTTGCCGTTCCTGTTTTAGAATGTCCACTTGAGCTGCATAGAAGGAGAAGAGGCTGTGTCTTTTACCGTGGCAGCTGTTTGAAGTTGGACAGTGTGCAGTGTGAGTGGGATTCCTCAAAAGTGGATGTCCAAATTAGGCACCACTACCCCATTTTTATTTCAGCCTGCTCCTTAGGTGTTCCTCTGAATGTGTGCTGTGTCTTGGAATTTTCCAGAATGATATTGTTAGCTGCAACAAAACGTGAAAAAGGAGCCTTTCTCAGAAGCAGTTAGAAAGTCAACTGGATGTGAGACAGGCACTATTAAATCACATTTTTTGTTCAGTGTGTGTTCTGTAGGCCAGGGATTTTTCCACAGCAGAGTTGTGAAAGTACTTATCTATCTATGGTAGTGATATGATGGAGCTCACACCAGCTTGACACAGAAGTAGCTGCTGATAGTGGAAGCTTGGCAGGAAGGAGGGCACAGGGGAACAGTGTTGAATTTCAGCTCGTCAGGGGAAACATCTCAGGTAGTGACATGTGAGAATGGTAGTTGCCACAGTTGCCTTTAGCTGGGAGTAATTGTGAAGTAGAAGCTGAGGAGGTAACTTTAAGGATGATGCTTTAGGATGTATAGTAGTGTGAGATCCATTTCAAAATGGAAACTCCAGGAAGTACATGTGGTGAAGCACCGTTCTTTCTTTTTCAACAGATTTCCCTCTGTGTGCATACATTTTTTTTCCCAGTCTAAGGCCTGGGCACTATCTCTGAGCTCTTTTGCTCAAGGCTAGCACTCTACCACTTTAAGCCACAGCACCACTTGTGATTTTTCTGTGTATGTGGTACCCAGGATGTGAACCTAGGACTTCATGTGTGCTAGAGAAGCTCTTCACCACTAAGCCACCTTCCCAGCTAGGACTTCATGTGTGCTGGAGAAGCACTTCACCACTAAGCCACCTTCCCAGCTAGGACTTCATGTATGCTAGAGAAGCACTTTACCACTAAGCCACCTTCCCAGCTAGCCACTGGATTTTTGACAGGGGACCTTGGTATGTAGTTCAGGCTGGTCTTGGAACTTTTGATCCATTTGACTTGGTCTCCTGAGATTACAGCATAATTCTTTATTATATTACATTAAAAACTAGCCTCATGCTTTATAAATGAATGACAGTTATTTACAATCTCATAGCTATTCCAAAGTAAGAATTTCAGTCTGTCCCCCTCTCTCCTGCCTTCTTAGTTGTTTTGTTTTTTAAGGCAGGCTTACCAAGTTGACCTTGAACTTCCTGCCTTAGACTCCCTCCCAGGCACTACCACGCCCAGCTTTAACAGTGTAACATGTTAGAATCTGGTAAGGACCAGGAAAGTAAGGGTTACCAGTGATTAGAAATGAGAGGCCAAGTCCTAGAAAAAAGGTAACTGCTCCGAGGTTTGTCGGGGCAGAGGATCAGGCTAATACACAGTTACTGAGTGGTCCCAATGCGCAGTTACTTGCTGTCTCCAGAGGTCCAGTGGGACCACACGGACACGGCCCTGAGAGCTCCCGTCTGCTGGGGCATCGTGGTGACCCTGTGTGACGGGGGCAGCGCTCGGTCAGGGTGGGGTTCTGAGTGGGACGCCACGGCTGATGGAGTTGGCATCTGGGTATCCTTTCTAGGGGGGTGGCTCAGACTTCTGGCTAAGCTCCAACTTCCACATGTGGTGCTATTGATTTTACTTAATAGCTTTATAATTACAGTAGACATGGAAATTATAACATTCACAAATTTATAATGTTTATTTTTCAAACATCTTTGCATGATGTCTTACTTTCACTATGTTCACTATATATAACGATGAGTTTTAAAACAGAAAAATACAAACTTTGTCTTTATTAGAATTTCTCTGTAAAGAATGCGTAAAAATTCATATTCACATTGATCGTATCGACAAGAAAGATGTTCCAGAAGAGCAAGCATATATGAGAAGATGGCTTCATGAACGGTTTGAGATCAAAGACAAGTGAGTAAAGACAGTCCTAGTCTGCAAATTTCGGTTCAATCAAGTTTCACTGCACCAAAACAGCATCTGTTGTCTTGAGAGTGCTTTTTATAAACTCAGGTTAACGCTTATTCCATGCATATGTTTCTGTTTTAAACCTTCCTTTTACAAATCACTGTGAAAGAACTTACGGAGCGTCAGTCTAGACTTCCTAGATACACTACCTGGGAAGATGCACAAATACCCTTTCAGATGAAAGATGCCCCAATCTCTGTTTTCAGAACAGGTAGAGAACCAGCTATCCTGCCAACTGCACTGTGGACTGCAAGGTTATGTCTGATGTGCAGATGGGTATGACATCAGTATTGTTGGAAGGTGAAAGTTGACATTTTTACAATGAAAAAGTCTCCTTTCTGTTGTTGGCATTTGGGGCTGAGACAGTCTCTGGCATTGACTGTACTTTGGTCCATGCTCATAGCACTTAGCAGCCAGCAGTCACCTATCTTTAAACCACATGTGTTTGGATATCTGTTAGTACAGCGAGAACCCTGAAGCAGCAGGTGACAGCATCTTTGATTTAATGCAAAAAAAAAAAAAATGGGGGATGGAAGAGATTAAAAACTGAGTCTTGGGCTGGGATGTGGCTCAGTGGTAGAGTGCTTGCGTAGCATGCATGAAACCCTGGGGTTGATTCCTCAGTACCACATAAGCAGAAAAAGCTGAAAGTGGCACTGTGGCTCAAATGGTAGAGTGCTAGCCTTGAACAAAAGCAGCTCAGGAACAGTGCCCAGGCCCTGAGTTCAAGACCCAGGACTGGCAAAAACAAAAAACTGAGTCTTAGATTTACATATAACATTTAGAAATTATTTTCTTAGCTGAAAACCTCCGTTTTGCTATAAGTGAAAGTCCTGTGCTTTCTGAAGCATATCCTTTTTTTTATGACAGATATGTTCTAAACATTTATGCTTTTTATCTTTTGAAAAGATGGAGCTATTAAGTATGGAATACAGCATTTACACACATTGAACTACTCCGTTTTTTAAAAAAGAACTAAAAACTACTTCCAAAATCATTTTTAAGAATTTTACTCCCCCACCCCTTGTCTTATTTTTCTAGCATGCTTCTTCTCAGGAGACTGCTGTTTCTTCCTTTCCTTGTATAGCAGTAAAATATTTCCTGATTAGCCTCTGGTTAAGTCAGGTGAAACTTGTTAAAAGTATGGCAAGCTTAAAATGAAATACTTGTATTAAATAGCTGTGTTTCATTGGCACCATTATGTATTAAGCAACTTATTCAGGACCATTTCAGTTATGGGAGATACTTGACTATGTGTATTGATTTAAACCTCATTTCAGAAGAAAGGCTAAAGATGTGCTTCATCGTCCTTTGCTTTGTGTGTAGGATGAAGGCAGAGCCCGCCATTTCACCTGCCCCCTTTGTTTTGTGTGTGGAGGAGTGCGTGTGGATAGTTGGCAGCCGCTAGCAATACAGTCTGCAAGGCAACTTTGTAGTCTCATGTCGAGGGCATTGCAGCATGAGCTACCGTTAGAATCTAACGCCTTGGAAGAAAGATGGGGAAAGGAATCAGCCACGCTGCTCTTTTCTTTCTTGGACCTGCTGTTATAATTCCAGGGGTATAGGGCTTTCAGACAAACTCCTTGGAGCTGATAAGAATTTCTGGTCTCTTCATTGGCTGCTGGTGTGTGGAATAGTATACACAGAAAGAGAAGAAACAGAGGGGTCATGATAGTCAGATCACTTCAGAGTGCTGTCAGTCAGAGGCTTAGAGCCAAAACAGCCTGGTCAAGTGGCTTCTTAAGCGTGTGTCTGAAATGCATTTCATGTGTAATAATAGTAAAGTACTCTAGTTACACCATGTCTGTTCCTTACTCATCTTGATTTTCCAAGGACCTGTAACTTCTCCAACACATAATAGGTATCCAGTAGATTAATTCTGTTTTCTGTTCTGGCTATAGGTTGCTTATAGAATTCTTTGATTCACCAGACCCAGCAAGAAGAAACAAATTTCCTGGGAAAAGTGTTCACTCCAAACTAAGTCTCAAGAAGACTTTGCCCTCCGTGCTGCTCTTGGGTGGTTTGACTGTTGGCTTGCTCATGACCGAGGCTGGGAGGAAACTGTATGTGAACACGTGGATCTATGGGACGGTGCTCGGCTGCCTGTGGGTGGCGGTTAAATCATAGACCGCAGACAATGGCTGTCCCCCACTGGGATGGCAATCTTGTCTGCTAGTGAAGGCTGCATATTACATCCAATTGTTTCCTGAATTAAATGAGAAGTGTAAATAAAGCCTTGTTGCCTGAACAAGTAAAAGTAAAATAGACTCTGTGACTAAAGCTGATGTGAAATTAATCTTGGGAAAAGGTTTTCCAGCTTTAGCACTGGAGCTGCGGTGACAGGAAAGCTTAGTGGAATTTGTGCTGTTCTTTCCACTCTCTCCAACTAATGTCAGCTTGTAAAGATGACTAGGATTATGTATTTTCCTATTGTTGTATAATTCACATGGCTGTTTTTGTAACATTCATTGGAGCCTATTTCACCATATTTGTTACTTTACATTTTTTCCAACTTGTCAGCTCTAATCTCTCATCACTAAAGTGTTCAGATACCAGCCAGTGACAAGTTGTATTTACGTATTGAGCTACGAGTAGGAAAAGGGCAAGGCGTGTCACGGAGCAACTCTGTGCATGTTCTTCCATACTGCGTTATTTAGCTGGTTTTGCTTTATGTTTGCAAAATAATGAACCTTTCTAATACTGAAACTGCTAATGTGCATACCCACTCTACAAAAGAATAATGTATGAAGAGACAAAATGAAATTTAAAATTGTGACTGATTCATTGTAGCAGAACTTGAAATTGCCTAGCCTTTGAAGATTGAAGCTACACTCCCAGCATCAGTGCCATAATACTTAAAAACATAAAGGTTTCCTGTTATTTTCTATATCAGACTAATCAGTGTGAACCTTCTTGGGCTTGGAGTCTCCAGTTCTAGGTGCTGGGAGCCTGCACCAATTTTAGCATGTGCCTTTGGCTATTTCTCTTTGATTTAGCAGGACGTTTGATCGGGGAATCATTGTTGTGCTGCTGTATGGCTTTCCACTGTGTCCAAAGCCTTTCCCTTTGGGTGTCCTTCGATGTGCTGCTCAGGGATTTGCCCAGTACTCGAGTGCACAAACGGTGAGCTGGCACTGTTGCCCTGGCTCAAGTGGAGCTCCTCCGACTGTCGCCTGTGGCTTCTTGCAGAGGCATTTGGATTTGGTTGTGAAATTCAGGCTGAACGCAGTAAAATACAGACGTGGCTTTGTCTGTTTGCTGCTAATGTTAATGGAGCCACACAGCTAATCTGTATCACCTCCAGAGAGAGTTCCCTTGCAGGAAGGCATCCAGCTCCACCACCCACAGTCGTGGGACAGTTGCCACCGAAGGAGCTCTTTCTAGAGTGGAATCCACGCCTTCCTTAGGTTAAAATGGACACACCACTGCCCGCTGGTCTGCTGCTTAAGGCCTTTGGTTGCATAATTCTAGTGACCCAGATGAAACATACCTGTTGAATTGTGATTTTTAAGAATTGAGAGAAATTTATGCCTGTATCACATTGCTTTTCCAAAATCAGAAAAAAAGCCAGCTGAGCAAGAAGTGTGATATGAATTGGTTTCTGTCCATTAGTAAGTGATGTATTCAGCATTCATATACATGTATTCACACACAGAACACAGCCTTATTGCGCAAGGAGGCCAAGGTCAAGCGGCATGAAGTGTTCCCACACTATGGGCTATAATTTATTTGATCTACAAAGTCAAGACTGTGTTTTAGGTATATTTTGCTAGCACCCCTCAGCTCATTTCTGACTCCACCAGAGTAGATGTAAGCTGTAGAGTTTGAGCATCACAGCAGTGCTCCCAAGTCGCATATGGACCAGTGGGCTGCATGGACTGTAATGGGTGTGCTAGCCAGGCGAAGTGGCCTGCGGGGTGAGCACGCTAGTTCCAAGGACTGTACCTCTGTCCTTTGAGCAGAGGGTCGATAAAATACGGTAGTTGGAAAAATTGTATCAAAATGTTTGAAAAATTAGAAGCTTCTCCTAAACATGTTGATTTTGAGTAGAATTAACTATTCTCTAAAATTAAAAGTCCTGTGCCCACCTGTAAACCCTATTGTTTGTATTGTTGATTTACAGCTTATTACTTTGTTTTTCTTTATAAGAGTGCCATCGGTGCGCATGCTTTTTGGTTTTTCAAACAAGGGTGTTCAGATGAAAGCAAAAAAATAAATGTCTTCACTCTCTATATGCCTGTGCTGTTTAACATTTTGCGGTCCAAATATTCACCAACAGTTTTCTGTCACATGAAATAGGCTTCCTGGGTTAGCCCTGCATACTGAACTTACAAAATTATAATTCTTTTTACTTAAGTATTGGGTGAGATTTTTGGCAAAGCAGTATAAAAGTTCTGTCATGTAAGGTTATATAACTTATAAGCCATAGAGCCAATATTTAGATGATCACAAAGCAGGTTACTCTCTAATTATAAATGCCTACTGAGGGTTTTGTATGCCCCATGCCAGGTACCCCAGGCCTTTTTGCTGTTGTTCTTTTTCAGATAGAGTCTCATGGTTTTGTTCAGGCCAGCCTCCTCCTGGGATTACAGGTGTTCACCACACACCTGGTTGGTTTTGTGGAAATGAGGTCTCACCTTTTGCCTGGGCTGTCCTCAAGCGTGGCGTCAGTCTTCCCAGTCTCCAACGCCAAGTGGATGGCATTTTACAGTCGTGAGCCACGTCATGAAACTTTTTTCCTTTATGATATAGCATGGCTTATCCATAAATGTCTTGAGGAGTGCTGTGTTGTTCAAATGACATTAGGTTGACCGCTAACAGACAGTAGAAACAACACAAAACTTGCCCAGGTGCAGTGACACAAGCAGCTCTGGGCGGGTGGCCCGCATCAGAGAAGACAGAAATGCCTACCAACACAGTATTTCATGTGTAAATGAAGGAGAGGGTAAAACACGCTGAGTTTTGAAGACTGGGAAGTTCCATGTGTTGTCAAGAGTGTGCCTTTTTAGAAATTAGGAGTAACACGTTTTATTTAAAGATGGACCGACTTGAAGTACTGTGATATCAATTCGTTATAGTTGACAGTTATTTGCAGATTGTCACACCCAAGCATTAGAACAAACATCAGTCCATTGGTAAACATGTTTGGAGCATTCAGTTGATACTGTGTACCATTGGCTGACTTTAAAACATTGTATTCATAAGCTGTTGCTAGCTTATCCCAGTTCTGTAGAGTAGGTGTGACACAGACATTGCCATCAGGATTTTGTTTGCCTTCTTTTTTCAATGTGCATGCTGAGGCAAATGCATTATTTTGAACAATTATTGTTATCCAAGAGTTGGGCATATGAGTGGTTCCATAAGCACGTTTGTTTTGTACATGTACATGTAATTTAATAACATCTGGTTATTGTCCTAAGCATAAAAGTTGTTTTGACGAAAGCCATTTCAAACAATGTACAAGTACTTGTACTGTGCCAAAGGAAATCTGTTCTGGAAACAAACTCAGCAAACGTGTATCGATGAGACAGGTCTATTTTTCCATCCTAATTACTGGCTCATGACCAATGGTTATGAGTATATAGGAAAGATAACATTCTACAATCTCCTAAGTCTTCATCTCTAAAAACATGCTACTGTTAATTCTCTCTTGTCTAACCAAAGCACTGGACAATATTGTTTCTTAATGGTGTTTATAGAATACTGACAATGTAGCAGAGTTTATTGGTGCATCATTAAGAAAGTAGGAACTTCAAAACTTACCTACTTGGTGGTAAAAATCCATTTGGTGATTCCGGTTACTTTGTATGTGTGATAAGAGTACCTTTTCCTACCAAGTAGCGCTGTAAGAGAGCATGTGGGATTTTGGAGACTTGCCAGGCTTTGCTGACAGGCCCTTTTCTCCCTGTCAGACAAGCCACTGAGGGTTGGGTGTGCCGCGATTGCCATGAGGAGGAGCTTGGTTTTACCACTAGCTAGCTATTGAACCTCAGGGAAATTATTCAAACCTGGCCTTGGACTTACCATCTGAAACAGTAATCAGACTAGCCATAAAGAACTGTTAAGAGGAAATGAGTTAATAGAGGCAGAGCACAGAACCTAGCAGATGTCAAGTCAAGGTTATATTTCTTCTCTGAGTCTTACAGATGAAAAGTTGATTCCAGAGAGCTTGACTAAAATACACAAAGGAGCCCAACTCACAGTAATGTACTGGCATTCTTTGACAAAGATGGGATCCGCTATTTCAACGTAAGTGTCTGCACAATATAGTGGAGGTCATAGATGTTGTTTAACATTTATATTAAACGCTGCGGCCACAGCAAAAGGAAGTGTGTCTCTCAGAAGAAAATCTCATGGTTTCTCCAGCCGAGTCCTTGGGGTTGAGGTTGAAGTCATCTTTCTCTCAAAGGTCAGCCCTAGGCTGCGGCCGCCATCTTGGGAAGTGGTAGAGCTTCCTCCACCGCTGCGTTAGGAGATTGGCTTTTCCTACAAGTCAGTGAAATGACTCCCTTGTCCAAAAGCCTGGCTGTACAAATGCATTTGTGTAACGCATTCATCTTCCCGTCACCTCCGCGCCACTTCCTCTCAAAAATGAGTGAGCATAATGCCTATCATTTTCTAATGTATCTTAGATTTGATCACTTGATTGCCTGGGATATTTGCTTTCATACTTACTTTCTCAGTTCTGGAGGCTGGGAGATCCGACATCGCAACCCTGGCTGTTGGTGTCTGGCCAGGGCTTTCTTGCTACATACATCCTCCCGTGACCTAAGCATGGAAGTGCGATGTTAGGGTTTGTATGGGAAGCACCCTCAAAAAGCTCACGTACTGGTGGCTTGGTCCCCAAGGTGGTAAGGATTTGTGAGGTCTCTGCCCTCATCAGTGAATTCATCCAATGGTGGGTTCACGTGTTTGGTGGTCTGCTAGCTGGAGGTGAAGCTGTAGAAGGTGAGGCCTGGCTGGGCTCTTGCCGCCGTGCTCTGCTTGCTGTTCACGGCGCGGCCGACAGCCTGTTCCTCGGGCTCCCCACGGCGGCCGTGTGCTGGGCCAGCCCCTCACAGGCTGAAACCACCAGCCCAAACCTCCTAACTTCAAGTTGCTCTAGGTATGGGTCATAGTGGTCCCTTGCTGGTCCCCTGCAGTCCTCTTCAGCAGCACTGAGTTGTTGTTTAGGCTGAGCCCTGTGACTTCATAATGACTTCATAATTACTCCCCAGCGGCCCTGCCTCTCCGTGGGGATTAAGTTCCAACATGAGTTTCCAAGCTGGGGTGCTTGTTATTAAACATTTTCCTTATCACTCGAGACCATGCTTGGAGTGGGTTCTTTTCGTACCTGTGTAGGTTACTCTGGGTCGGGTGTCAGCCTCTGATGGCCTAAGCGCTGTTTGTTAGCCAGGCCCACTTCCTTGGGAGATGGGAAGGGAAGTCCTCCCGCCCACCAGCCCACCACAGTGTTTCTCCTTGCTAGAATGAAAATCCTGGACAGCTAGTGAGATGCATCTTCTCGCCTGTATAATGGGAACAGGTGGACCTGACATAGAACAAACACCTGATGTAGTCGGATTTTTTTTTAATTGTGCAAATACCGTACAGAGGGGTTACAGTTATATGGGCAAGGTAATGAGTACGTTT